TTTTTATAAAAAATTAAAATTAATTGGCTTTCATTAAAACTATATTGCCAAAATAATAAGAATTAAATTGAAAAAAAATATAGTTCATTTACAATAATAACACGTGAGAGGATGAATAGTATCTGAGAGAAAAAGTCACTCCTTTTTTTTTTTTTTAAATTAACGTGGGTGTCCGGGCCAGTTTGCGCGCACCACGACTAATCCCACGGGCCCTAAAATCAACAACTATATAAGTTTCCAGTGGCCATTATATAAGCAACCAAGAACTCAAACCTGAGACCACAAAAAAGAAAAAAGTCACTCCTTTTAATTTTATAGTTAATTGTCATTGATGTCACATGGTTGAGTTTGGTCGTTTTCGAACGTGGTTATTGCTTATTAGCATGCGGAGTATACAAGTTAGTCTCCCTGAAATACAGTGATAAACACCCACGTGTTTACAATGCGTCAGATTCAAATAAAAATGGAGCTTCACTCGAGTCATAACCAATACGAGATGAGATATATTGGCTTTTAATTGTCATGGCGCGCTATGACGGGTTAGAAATTATATAAAAAATATTCATTTAACAACTTAAATTTTAAATTTTAAATATTTTTCGAGACAAGTTCCAGGAAAAAAAAAAGTTTGGCGTAGATATGAGTTAATAACACAGTCAAACGAATAAATGTCAATTTTTTCATAGTTATTTTCTGATGATATTCCAAAATTTAAATTATATAGCAACAAAGTTTTTAAATTGAACAATTAGTTAATAAATTAATTCTATCAAAATAATTAATAAATTATACTTAATATAATCAGTATTTATAAAAAATTTATTTTAATGGATATAAAAGTTTTTGAATACTTAAATAAGTATTTTTTTAACAAAATATAATAATACTATAGGAAGAAATGCTTTTAAATATGTATACAATAAAGAATAAAAATTATGAATATTTGTTTTGAATGACTCATAATGTATTTATAATTCATCAATATTATTCTTTTATGGAGAGAATGTTCTAAAATATAATTTAACCTTTATAATATTTTAAGTTATATTTTACTTATTTTATCTAATAAAAAAATAAAGATATTATAGATGATGAGAGATTTTAATACATTTAATGGTATTGTTGAAGAATAAATTTTTTAATTAAATTTATTTATTGAGAAATAAATTCTCTTTAATTTCATATAAAAATTCATAATATTAAATTTAAATATTATATTTGAATTTATGGGTACAGTGAATCTGCTTGGGATACATTGAAAAAACAAATCTTAGACTCAACACTTCATAAAAACACGTATCACGCCCCCCTATTAGCCTAACAGCACATCAGGCCAAGCGGCCTGGTGTGCTGACAGGCCCAAGCGCTGGGTCTTGCGCCATTCCAGACCCAGCGCTGGGTCTGATACCTCTCAGGAAAGATAGCATGAAAATTTTAACACTATTTTCTTCTAGAAAACTTATTTTTATTCTATTTTCTCAGAAAGCATAATCTTATGGAATAAAACCCTGAAAGAAAGATTAACAAGCACAGGATTTCAGCCCTATTCTTCAGTGGATAGAAGAATCACGAGACTGAGGAAAATAAAACCTTGCAAGGTGATTTATTTTTTGTACCATTTTGAGTGGTCTCAGGTTAGACATTCTACTTCGAACGTAAGTGAAGTCTTTACCAGATTTATAGTTTAATGCATATTTTCTTCCCAGTCTAACTAGCATTAACTAAAAGACTAAACCGTCTGAGTATTTTACTGTAACTCAATTCATAATAAAATGTATCTTGGTTATAATAAAATTACCATTTTACTTTTCATTCATTTATTTATAATGTTTTGCTCAATGGGTAAAATGGTTTTTGCATGTGGTTAATTTGTTATTTTTTATTTTCTCGGGGGCAACAATTTCTTTTTAATTTTTATATTAGTGCAATTATTATATTGCTCTTAAAAAGCTAACATTCAGAACTTTGATCAACAGACTTTATAGTAATTTTAATTTTGTAATGAATAATTGAATTATTTCATCACCTGTACCATTAAAAATTATTAGTCTTTGATTCAAGGTCTTGATTGTAATTTTATAGTGGTGTTTGGTTTTTTTAATCGTTGTTGTTTAGTCCCAAGGTTATTTTTTTACAAATTAATTAACAGTGTGATTACTCCATTACCTATACTTTTCAATTTTTTTTAGCCTTGACTTAAAGGGCTTGTTTGTAATTTTATAATAGTTTTTTTGTCATTATTTTTCAATACTAGGGGCATTTTTGTTTTTTTATAGATAAAAAAATATTGATCCGTGCCTCGCACACATCTATTGCTACACCATCTTTGAACAATGTTTGTGATTGATTTTGGTAGTTTGAATCATGATTTCTCTGCATCATTGAATTTTTCACGGCATCCTTCTCTTACCTATGCAGTGAGTGTATGATGGTTGAATATAATTTGGTGTCAATTTGGTTTTTTTGTCCTTTTATTTCCTTTTTTTTTCCATGAGGGCGTGCTGATTATGAAAAAAATTATACTAGTTTTTTAATTTTTTTTTCTTTTAACCCAGTCATTCTTCTCTTAAATGCAATTTTTTTATATATTAATTGTTTTTAATTGAATTTTATTTTTGTTTTTATTAATTTTTTTATCAAATTCAATTATTATTTTCTTAAGTATTTTTATTGAATTATTTTCTTGATTGATTTGTTTTTTTTCAATTCTATTCCTAAGTATTTATTTTTTATGTTAATTTTTATTATTTTGATAAACTAATATTAAAAATAAATTTTTTAAAATATTTCTAAATAATTTTTTTTTAAACTGCAACTACATTTAAAATCCTAAATACACTTTAAAAAAAGCCACCTGGCCTTGCCCTTTTGTTGTTAAACACCGCCGAAAGTTATTCAACCATAGTGATAAAAACGATTAAGGCACCGCTTTGTGCTTGGAATTACGTAGTGCATTTTAAATATATGTATATTTTGGTTGTTAAAAATAGTAAATTAGTATTTTTTAAAGTATGTTAAAAATAAAAATTTAAAATAAAAAATAAATAAATAAATCACCGACAATATAAATAATCTTTTTTGTGTAGGTAATAGGTCCAAGTGCCTAAAAAATACAGATAAAATTCATTACGAGTCACCAAAGAAATTATATTATCCAGCATGATACATGGATTATATTATGAATAAGATATTGTTATAATCAAATTAATTATTTAAACAAGTGGATGATAAAAAATGAACCACTTCACATTTTTTTTTTAAAACGATTCATTCTATAACTTTTTTAGTGTAGCTAATAATTGACAATATTCTAAATCATGTAAAGGATTCTATAATATAAAGAGAATTAACTATTTAAAATTATATATAAAAGCATTTATAATATTCAAAACATCATTTAATTTAAAATAAAAAAGAATTACGACTAAACTATTGATTTTTAAAAAGCTACAAATTAAAGCTTTTAAAAATAACACATAGAATAAACTATCACATCAACTTTTGTAATATTATAAACATTTAAAAGCTCCCATCACAACTATATAAACTATTGATTCCTAATTAATAGAAAGTAACATATTAAATATAGCTGTTACAACCATGTATTTGTTTTGGTGCGCTCTTAGCATGTGACTCGAGAAGGGAATAGGATTTTCGATATCTATTTTAACAGCAGCAGCTAGGGCAGCTGCAGCTGGATGATTCAACATGTTGGAGGATTGTCATGGCTGCTCTTGCTTGCTGAGCATTTGAATAAATTATGTCCCCGGCGAGTGATCCAAGTAATCATTCAAGCTTTTCCCCCTGAATCCGACAATAATGATGGCTTCCATGCGCCAGTATGAACTATGAAGGCCTTTCCACTGTCACCGAATTGTTTTTTTTCTAATCACTGAACCACCGTGCGGCGGTTGAGGTTATATTTAATTTTTTTTTATTTTTTATTTTTAAAATTTATTTTTTATTATAAATAATAATATAAAAATTATTTAAAATAAAAAATTATTTTTAAAAAAATACAATGCGATTTAAAATAAAAAATTATTTTTTAAAAAATACAATGCAATGTAAACAAACAAATAATTAATATGTTAGGTATTTTTATAGCTTTTAAGGTTGTAATTTTTTAAAAATAAATTTTTAAAAATATATTAGTTAAAATTGATATGAGATAAAATTTTTCCTGATAAATATATCTTTATTAATAAAAAATTATTTATTATAATTTATACAAAATCAAAGTTCGAAATGTAAATATATCCATGAAATTTAGTGCGAAAAAAATATAGAAGTTATTTGATTAACTAAATATTTTTTCTCTATAATTAGATAAAAAAACAAAAACTACCACAATACATTCTCTTTATTTTCAGCGACGTGGTTTGCAAATTTAGGGTATGTTTTGCGTAGCGAATCAACCATTGTTTTGTTGATTTTTGAATTGTTTTGCTTATGTGAAATATCAACCATTGTTTTGTTGATTTTTGAATTATTTTGCTTATGTGAAATATTAAAAATAAATTTAAAAAAATAAAAAAAATATTATTTTAATATATTTCCAATTAAAAAAACACAACCTTTGTCAAAATCTTAAATATCCCCACAAATAATTCAGAATAATTTTTCAAGGCCCAACTGTAACTCCAAACAAGATTTAAAGGCACAGACATCTTGTTGAAAATTAAAAGCCTTGTTCTTCCATGCACAGATGGGATCTTAGAGCTCCCGTCACGTCAAGAGAATAGAAGCTCAAAAGCCTATTGCAAAATCTTAAGAAAGTATTAACGATCTGGTTTACTTGAGTTTAGTTGGTTTGTACCTACCAGGAGTTGTCAAATACTTGAAGCATCATCGAACGCGAAGCAGGAGTTGTCAAATACTTGAAGCATCATCAAACGCGAAGCAATCCAATCTTTGCTTCTTTATTCTATCCATCTATTGTATTTCCACACCATCACATCTCTGTCAGTCCTCATGACAAAGAATATACAGGAACTCCAGAACAGAATAAACACACACTCAACTCACTTTATATACTTTACAAATGGATACATTTAGTATACAAATAACTCAACTTTGCCCTTACAAATAATAAACAAACCCCATATGATGAAATGATGCAAACATGAGAAAGACAAGAGGCTGGGGTTACATACCCTCTCCCTTTCCTTCTCGGAGATATTTAAAAAATGAAAAAAAGAGTGTTCTAGTCCTATCTGTCTTGGTAAACTAACGCCTACGCGCCTGGCGCACTGGAATCTCTGCTTGATCACTCCAGTTTCGCTGGCCAGGCCCTTTCTCACAACATACGAACGACAGCTTGGCTTCGCTTCACTAGCCTACACACACATGCACTCACCATCCTCTTCCTCCCCCGCAAAAGGGGATGATAAGCTGAACCCACCAAAAAATTGGGCTTACTTGGACACCAAAAACTGTTAATAAGATCAAAAGAAAGAAAGAACGAGGAAAAAAGAAAGAAAGAGGAGGGCAGACTTTCAATTATACAGTCCATCAAGGCCCGCCTAAAGGACCATAGCAGGAGCCTCCCCCCTTCCTCGAGGGACTTCCCGTGTGAATATTTTCCTGAAAAAGTGGCAATGCATTTGGTCTCGTGTTCCTTGGAAAACAATGTCAGTGATCATCCATCTTCAAATTGCAGCTGCTAATTAGCATCCAAAATGCAATCTGCATTTCCGCGAAGAAGATAGTAAATCGATAAATCTTTTCAAGTTAACATTATAGTATTTAAGAGGACGCAACAGAAGAATTTAGCTGAAGTTACCTATTATCTTCTTTGATGTGCATGGTTCAGGACAGCGTGACTACAGAGCACCATCTTCCAAGTTCCTTGCACGTTGCTCCACGTTTCTTAGATCTCGAAGATGTTGTAGAATATCTTGCAGCAGTTCTATCCCCTTATCTCCTTTCCTCAAGGAGGTGATGCAATGCTTGAGAAATTCTCTATCAGCCTCAAGTGCTTGTAGCCTCTCATAGACATGGTCCACCTCCTCCTCAACTGCAAGCTTCTTCCTATCCATGTCAGATTTGTTAACTGACATTTGGAAAGCAATAGAATCAAACCCTTTTGAGTGCCCATTTAGTATCCCATCTTCTCTTTCTGTATCAATGGCATCAAAAAGCGGGAGAAGTCTCTTTGCCTTTGCATCGATGTTTCTTCTTCCTTGTTGATGCTTTCCATTCATTTCCTTGTAGTGACCATTTGCAACTCCATTTGATTCACTGCTATGATCATAAATGTCATTGTAGTCATTGCCATTCTCTTGATATAGATGCTCAATCGGTTTTATGTCCTCAAAATGTTGCTCTTCTTCATCGCTCAGCATAAAAAGCTTCTCTTCCAAGACCTTGAGTTGCTCTAGAATTGATAGCCTCTCCTCCTCAAAATGAGCCAACGACTCCTCCAAATGTATAACTGCGTCTACCGGGGTGTTCTGATTACTACTTTCTTGATGGTTATCGAAGCTTTCATCTGCTTCTCTCCCTTCATGATTCAAGTCAGCAGATAGTCCATCGCTATCCTCGGCATTGCTACAAGAAGGCGAGGCAGTTCCACTTCTTGTGCTGCCATCTCTCCTTCTTTTCAACGCCATCAATTTCTCTTTCATCTCATAATCCTGTACCTTCTTCCGATATACTTCCAGCTCCTTTTCTAGCTCCGCTTTCTCTTTTTCTCTCTTTACCATAAGTTCGTTCAGAAGCTGCAAAGCTTCTTGGTCATACTCTGATTGCTCTTCCATCATTCTCTGATACTGCAAAGCTTCCATCTGCATCGCAGCCTTCTCTTCTTGAAGTCTATTTATCATTGCCATTGTCTGGTTAGCTGCCACAGCAGAGGCACTTCTTTCTTCTTCTAGTTCTGCATATAAAGCACTTAAAGCCTTCCTTTCAGCTCTCAAAGCTGATTTCAACTTCTCCGTAGTCAAAACTCCACCTGCTTCTACGTCACTAATGATACTTCCGTCCAAAGACTCTTCTGTGGCCGATTCTTTTCTTTCAAGTAGTAGCAGTTTCTTGTGTAGGTGATGAAGACTATCTATAGAAGTTGGTGTATCAGGAATTTTATCTTCCTCAAGCTCATTGCCCTCTGTATGCAATGATGGCTCGCTAGTCTCCACAGTTATGGTCCTAAATTCTATCGCATCTTCCTCAGCTTGCTTTGAACCTAATGCAACCAACAATTCAGTTTCTTTCAAATCAAATCATATGTACATACAGTAACAATAAATTCTAATACAGCAGTATATCAAAGGAAAGGTTACCATGATCTTCACATGCATGTTTATTGACATCACTAGTTGAAGGGTCTTCTTGTTTGGATGAATATGAAGAAGAAACTTCTTCACCATAATGAATGTCATCAATTTGTTCCTGATCAGGAATTTCAGTTCCTATCGAGACATCCGCTTCTATTTCGTCACTAAGCATTTGCAGTGCTTCTTCAGACACTGCAAATTTTAACAAATTTATCAAATGGGAATTCAAGATGGAACATTGAGTACAAATTAGATCAAACAAGGTTGAATGAATACCTTGATTGTAATCTGAATCCATGAACTCTCCCACGGCCAGTGAACTTTCATGAGCATCATTGCCATCACTAGAAGGGGTTTGAGTTGGTTGAGCGGTGGCAAATAGCTCAAATTCCTCCTCCACCAAATCGAAATCCGCATACACTCCCGAGGGACTCTCTTTCTCGAGGATTTCCATAGACCCAACCACTGCAATCTTAGGTTCCTCCGCATTATCATCGACTGAAATCAATGGCATTTCCTCTTCTAAATTGCTCCTATCCTCCACAACCAGTTCATATTGTGCTCCAACTTGCTTATCAAACTCCAAAACAAAATCTTCACTACCACTATTCTCCTCCACTCCCTTATCGCGCCTCTTTCGAATTTGCTTCTCTGTCGCATCGGAATCGATCAGTTCAACTGGAATCAAGTGGCAATCATCTTGATCAATGTAAAACTCTAGATGCCAAGGTTGAATTTCAGAAGCCTTGTCTTTACTGCTACTGGCTTGAACCATCACAGGTTGAACACAAGCTGGATTATCCATTTGCCCATTCAAATCATCCTTCTTGACTGGTTCTTCCTGTTCTTCAATAAACACATCTTCTTTTTCACAATCATCATCAGCCACTTCCTTGCGATCAGAATTAGAAACAGGGCCTGAACAATTCTGCCCAGCTTCCTCTTCTCTGTTTCCAATCTCAAGTCCCCTGTTTTCAACAATCCCCTGTTCACCTCCAAAAAAATCACTCACAAAATCCAAGCTTTCTCTATCAGGATGATCCCCTACACCAGCTTTATCATCAACTTGATGATCCAAAGCCAAATTTCCTTTCTGGGTAAAAACCGAGTCACCCCAGGAAGGCTTAATTAGACAGTAATCATCACAAAATAGTTTCGTGTCCAAGCAAACACCACAACAAGAACACTTCAAATCCTCCTCACCATTTTCACTTAGCTTACCACCCCCTAAATCTTGAAGGTCACGAAGTTGCTTCATCCAAGGAAAGAAAGCAAACTTGTTCAAGGATTCACTATGAGATGAGGATGAGCAGTCCTCACACATATCTTGCGATTCAGCTAGTTTTCTATGATTTGAACAATACCCCAGTTTGGAAATCTCTTTAGCATGATCATCACACACAAGAGATCTATAAGAATTCTCGAAATTTGTAGGCTCAAAGAAGTGATCAAGCCTAGAACACCAGAGACAAGGTCTCTTAAGGCCAAAGTAATCAGCAAATTTGATGATTAAATAAGAAAACAGAGAATTTAAGAGGAGTAGAATGATCAGAATCCATTCAAGGATCGCATAGACAAGGATAACAGTGATCTTGTTGGTGTTTCTGTTCAGCATGGTTGCAAACTTGTTACCAGCCATGGATGGTTGCTCTGTTTTTCTTGCTATGTACAAGGAAAGAGATGGAGTTGGGTAAGGTATCAAAAGATAATTTATCAAATGTGAAGTTAAATGGCTTCAAGACAGAGAAAAGGGGGACATTGAGGAATATCAAAAGAGAGAATGTTAAGACAAGAAGCTGCGAAAATGTTTTCAGCGGGAGAGAGAGAGGACAGAAGAGCAAGACAGAGAAAAGGGGGACATTGAGGAAGATCAAAAGAGAGAATGTTAAGACAAGAAGATGCGAAAATGTTTTCAGCGGGAGAGACAGAGAGGACAGAAGAGTTGAAGAAGTAGAGAGGTATTTTTATTTTTACAAGTTGAAAAGCCGGTTTGAATAGGAATGAGCTAAAGAACGTGGATGTTTGTGATGGTTCATCGTTTTTTTAAAAGTATTTTTTATAAAAATATATTGAAAAATATTTTTAATATTATTACATGAAAATCTAAAAATATATAAAAAAATAAATTATCATAAAAGACAGGTTACACGCAATCCTAACAAGCTTCAAAAACTCGAATGTTAGAATAGAGAATTAAAGTTTTTTTTCGTATATAAAATAATGCGATTCGAGTCAAAGTAAATTAAAGAATTTTTAGAGCATGATTAAAGTACTTGATTCTTCCGAAAGAATTAAGTTACCTATTATTAATATTCCACAAGCAACAAATATTTCAGATATTTTGATATAGAAATCTTAACTCTTGGGTTTTACTAAAATCCCAAGGCAGTTTATAATATTTTTATTATATATATATTTTTTAAAACCACACAAGGCAGTTTATAATATTTTTATTATATATAATTTTTTTAAAACCACACACACAACAATTTCTGACACGTATTATTTAAAATATAAGGTTTATGATGAGCTTATATAAGTAAGTATAATTAGTTATATTGATGATGATGCTTTAAATTTCAGTTCATGTGAAGATGCATTTACATCTTTATCCTTGTAAATCCAGTTTTTCATGCAGCCATTGTAATAAATCGTGTTTTAGAAAATCCTCATCACCATTAATTTGGAATCCAAAAGGCTCGAGTATAGACAAAGTTTTTCTTTTTATCTCCAGAGGCCATCTCTATTTCCCATACCAGTTTTCTCTTTGGGCATTAAAATGGGATGGCCCACCAACCATACCAATGAGTTGGTGGGCCACTCTCAAGGTAGAGCAGGGGGCCCAATCAGATGCCTTGCAACTCCGTTTCTCTTTATCTCATGAGGTTTCTCTGTTTTTATATGAAATTTTGTTTCCTCGTTCTCTCTTGGAAAGCCACCCAGATCCTGCAATAAACTTCGGTTTGAAGCGCAGATTCTCTAAGTTCACCGAGAGCTTGCCTGTTTCATCAAACTATTAAATCCATGACAGGTAGATAGAAACAGCATTGGGCCTTGCTAGAACTTCTTATAGAAAACCGAGCCAGAGACCATCACTGTGCTGAATTTTATGTTCATACCAGATATGTTTTTGGCTTTTATTCTAATTTATTCTACCCACGGTTGAATCAGCCATCAAGACTCGGCCATGTCGTTTTTCTAAGGAAATTCTGCGATCCCTTCCTCGGTCGGTTTTTCTGGAAACTGTTATGAGTTGACAGATCAAGAAATACTTGTGAATTCAGAAATACTATAAAAAGCTGATGCTGGTTTGGTTTTAGTCGGGTTGGGTCGGGATAGTCTGAGGCTGCACCGCCACACACCGCCACACACCGACCACCCCATTTCATATTTTCCTTTTAGTTTCCAAATTCTCATGATCATCGTGCCTATGCTCTAGAACCATGGCCTTCCCGAATGCAATATCAGACACAGTATCAAAATTAATATCGTTCAATTTTAATCATCGAATTAAAAAATAATAACGAGATCTGAAACTTCTTTTTTAAAAAGAAAAACGCAAGGATACAGGTTTTTATATAATTAACATAGATATATGAAGATTTGAAGAGCCATTGTATCAAATATACAGTATTATTTTAACTATTGTTATATCAGTTAAAATACAAATAAATGCAAGACAATACGTACAGCAAGAAAAGTATTAAAAAGGACAACTAACATCATTAAAGACAAATAATAGAATATTCTTGATATAAATAACAACTGTGTATTGTATTTTTTTTTAGAGTAATGCTAGACATGAAAAAATAAATTGTCAACAAAAAACTCTAAGAATATATACAACAAGCCGTTCGATCATGTCTTAAAAAGAGATAAATTTGTAGATCCTATTGACCCAATAATCCACATGTATTTTTAAAGGTTTTTTTTTGTTATTATTATTATTATTTTAATATTTAGCATTTCTGATCAATTCTTGTAACTCCTGTCTTGATTTTAAAGTAAGGAATCTAATTATTTCTTTTTTTTCGCATCACCCCTCCAATGCACTTTTGCTTTAGTCATGTTTACACCAATAATACTCCTCCATGCTTCTAATAATTCGCCCTACTGGATCTTTTAACTCTTCAGATCCCAATTCAAGTTAATTCAATTAACCCCTAAAGATAATTGTGTTCCCTCCTCTCTGCCTTTAGTTGCTTTTGTTCAAACACATAGGTTTACAGATGCCGGAGATCACAACTATTTTAAAGGAATTTGTGCACAAAAGGTGTCCCCTTTTGTTGCAATTTTGTAACCAATCTTTGAAGATAGAATGTAGAACATATATATGATTTTTTTTTTAAAAAAAGATCAATAAACTTTCTTGATGGACTCGCCCCTCTTCAAAGGTTGATCAAGTCTGCCTTTCCCTTTTGATTTTTGACCAAAAAGACAATAATGTAATTGGCATAAGATTCACATTATAATTTTCAGAAGATGAGCTGAGAGAATCCTGCTTTCTGTACCGTTTGGCAAATTAAAGAGCCACCCTTCAATATCCAAACCATTATATTCAAACAAAATATTTTGTTTGATTTTTTTTTTCTAGAAAAGGTTTCATGCTAGTTATAAAAAAAGGGCGTACTCCATTGAAATTGAAATAATATTGGCCTACACTGTTTCCATGGTCTAAGATTGAGTGCCTAATTCTTCACTAGAGAAAACTTCAAATTTGGTGGCTGATGGCTGGGTAGGAACACAAGGTTTGATCAGACAAAAAAGGAGAAATATTGCTGGTATGGCCTGAATTGAATGGAGGGACCCTGTTAGGGGCCATAATCCCACGTTATCGCGTGGTTTAGAAGATACCATCCAGCAACTGGAAAAATACAAAATATTTGACTTAATCTTGTACGATAATTATACACTAAGCGACCCTATTTTCATTTCCAATCATAATCCTTTAACCTTAATTTGAAGCATTCAAGAACAAGGGCCAGTGCACATCTGGGTCATCGCAAAATCTGTTACTTGGCTGTATGTCTTTTTGGCCATGACATGAACTCAGTAGTTTGTGCTGTGCAGGATGTGAATGCGTGCTAGTTAACGTGGATTAAGGTTTGAAACGGCTGTTTAGTATATGCATGAAAAGAAGAAAGATATCATATTTTTGTCAACTAGGGCTAGTGCCAAAGCTTCAAAGAAATTCTATTCCAGTTGAGATGTGCATTGATGACAGTTGAACTGTCAAATCTACATGACACGGTCCCCAATTGCTTCTTCAAGAGGACTGTTTCAAACTGCAAGCTCTCGAGGGTCAAGGAGAACTACTTTTGCAGATGGCTCTCCTTTTTATATATATAAAAAAGAAGAAGATATCCAAGCATTGTTCTGGGGCAGTTTTATGGTGGCTGGGGATGATTTCCACTTGATTTTCAAGGCAGAACTGCTGAAGCGGTACTGCAAGGTAAAATAGCTTGTAGGCTTCCGAAATTTCGTTAATTCACCGAATGATCCTTCAGCATGTTCCTTGATTCAAAATCAAGCACCAAACAACAGTGTGCTCGTGAAGTTTCATGTGCATATAAACTTTAGTACAAATCTAGGAGATTAATTCAAGCGTGCCTAAAAGCACATAAATTTCAAGGTGGCCACTTTAGCACCTGATCTTTTGTAGCAGTCATAGCCACCAGAGGTGGTAATTTGGAGAGCTTGTGAAATTTAAGACCACCGTGGGTTCATCAGCTCTTTCCCCTGGATAGCTAATCCCTCACCCTTGAGGCGGTACCATACGCACGGGTTAGACCATTTTAGATTCCATTTGAGGCAAGTGCTTCTCAATATTTTAGATCCTTAACTCAAAACAATGAAAACACTATTTTAAAGTTTGACAGACTAAATTTCAATAATAAAAAAAAAGGTCCAAGGATGAACTACAAGCATCAAATTTGTAATTAACTCACATGGTGTCCTAGCAAGAGGCTTCACTTTTAATCGCTAGCTGTTCGCTCCAACGTGTCGATCATCAATGTACAATTTCCAAACATATTCTAACAGCTAGCAGCACTTAATTAAAAAAGTTTCCACTACAAATCCTTCTCTCTAAAAAAAAAAACATTCAATTAAGGAAAAAAAAAAGGCAAGTAAAGGCATCAATCTAGTTATTTTTTTTGTTATAATTAAACTGTCTTGGTTGTTTATACTTATGTTGTTTAAGTATTTTTTTTTGGAATTATGGTAGTATTTATTTTTTAAAATATATATATACTGCCATAATTCCAAATATATATATATATATAACAAAACAAGTTTCAACACAAAAAAAAAGATGTATGCTACTAAACTATCGTTATTTGTTGTGATGCTACTGCAATAGCTCTTTTTGCAAAGAACCATGCAAACATAGAATTATGCAAGATTCGAATATTTTTACCTTCCTCCCGACAACAAAAAAGGAGGAGGTAGGTAGCATAAGAATATATATTAGTACGATTATGTATAAGAACCCCAAGAATATATTGGTTTTATTCGTATTTATTTGGTTTTCTACGATAAATGAAGTATCCTAATCGTTGTGATGTAAAAGGATCCAATGATTAACAACATAGGAAAGCGAAAGAAGGTCATGAAAAACAGCTGTCAATTTGTGATATATAACGGGATACCAGTAAGAAAAGCAACGAGAAAGGAGGAAAGAAGAGAGGAATGAACAAATTAATATTAGAAATAGATGGGGGCTGGGATGCTGTGATCATGATGTGATTTGATAGCGTCTGGCGACGTGGGACATGGATTCCCTTGCTTTATTATTGCTTCATGCAACATGTTTCTTCTTACCTTCCT